GAGGCCAACAACTGAAAGGTTGTGCTCGACTACATACTTGATCTTTGTAGGAAATGCAGATTAAAGGACGTGTTCTTTCTTAATATCAAACATAAAATATATCACTATTGATTTTGTAACCTGAACTAACCCTATATTAAATATGGTCACTCTGAACATATCTCACATATGTGTTTGTGACGTAGCCTATAATGAAAAAATGACAGGTATCAACATGTTCACTTACAGTGTGCAAACTTAGTATCAAGTTGTTAAACTTGTGTGACATCGACTTTTCAACATCTTCATAGGGTCTGACGTTTTGGAGTCCAGGCAATGTACCAATACAGACACTATACTCGATCCCAATCAGGTCATCGTCAAACCCAGTCCATTTTGTATGAAGTGTGGTGGTAGAGAGCTGGAGATCTGAGTCCACAAAGTCCTGAAATGAAACAAGCAACCAAAACATTAAATGCAAATATGAGTGCACTGTTGAATGTTCAATGTAGTGGTGTCTAAATGAACGATATCATGTGTTTTGTCTGTTAGCGTGAAATCTTTTCTGTTGACATACAGATAGTTAACCTTATAGAGACAGGTTGTTTTACCGTGATGTCAAAAAGTTCTTGTTCCTCCTGTGGACAGATATCAAGTACCACTCCCAGGGAAGGTAGTCTGACATCGTGGACGTATGGTTCTGATACACCAACAGTCCACAGTCCGACAATGTTGGTCACTTTGACTGAAACATAGTACGTGTGGCCGTGATGCAGATCCCAGTGGAGGTCGCGGGTGGCTACAGCTGTGCATGATGGTGGCGTGGAGACAGAGCATCCTCCTCCTGACTGGAGAGGGAGGAAGGGGAGGATCCTAGATCCACCAGGAGACGAACCTGAATATGGTTTAAAAAATTGTGAAACCAGGAAAATGAGTTTCAATTTCATCTAAAATCCTGTATGTATGCGTTGAAGGATCAATCTTCAATGTAGAGTTTTAACGTTTACAGAGTATACAAGTGGCTTCTACCTGAAAGAATGATGTCAGATGACAGTCGTTATATGAACTGTCATTCTTTTGTCATATAAAATAATAGAAATATCATTATGATAGCTCACTCGACAGATACGCACCAACAGCAACTGTGTAGGTCAGATAGTCTTGTTTGGCATCTTGGAAAGAACCTGATGTCCAGGTGATGACAAGATGGTTTTGTTGTAGGCCAGCAGTGATTGGTGGTGTGAACGCTGGTGCCTGGGTGTACACTGTTACAGGCCCCAAGACCTGCCATAATATAGAGAGTGGAGACTGGCGGCTGTTTTAAATTAACTTTCGTCCGTCAAACTTCAAACCAAGTAAAAGTAACATTGTTTCATTCTACGCCTCCATTTCGTTTTTTTATGGGCAAACTAATGATGATATTTCTCAGACGTACACTTGAATATGTGTGTCTATTTGAGAATGTCGTTATTTGGGACTTTCTTTCTTTTCCTTTTTAGTGTAACATCATTTTTTAGACATGTTATATATATGCGTATGTCTGACGTACCTCAGTTACAGATAATGCAGCTTTATTGATAGCTTTTACTGCTATATAGAACTGTTCCCCTTCACTCAGATGCGGATGGAAGCCTTCATAATGAGGGTGGTGGTGCGTGGATGTGTAAGGCAGAATATCTGGAGCTGCTTCACGAGATGAATCAGACATCAGTCCTAGCTCATAGTCATAAATACCACTCTCAACATCACTGCTAGTCCAGTTGACATAGAGCTGGAAAAGAAAATATACAGTGTGATATGCACCGATTGTAATTATCATAAAATCTATAACTGAAAATAGTTGATGTCACAATAAACTGTCATTTCAGACTAGGACTCACGTGATGTTTCTGGGACATATAAAACTGATTGATAGAGCGGAGTCGGAAGGGTTGATGATGACTGCAGGAGGAAGCTTGGTGGATCACAGTTGAACCATTGAGGTGTTTGTGAAGGGGTAGGAGAGACAAGCTTTGATTGCTTGTTACTGCTGATCGCATTCTGCAAATATAGACTGTCAAGATACACGAGTGCAGAAGCATTTGTTTGTGAGTACTAACATATTCATAAGCTAGTATATTATTCATACATTTCCTGACAAGTATTTTCTTCGATCACTGTGTTTTAGGGTTTCAAGAGTGGTAATACTATACCTGCAATGAGTATCTGGTTCTTCAATCTGACTCCTCCTCCTGTCTGCAGTGACGAGCCACACTTCCTCACCATTCGTCACCAGACCTTCAGTAGTGCGGGAGTTAAGGACAGCAATCTGTTTCAGTAACGGTTCTGTCTGGTCCACAGTTACTCCATCAGAGCAAACAGGAAGAGATGGCTCCAGAGCGCGGTTGAAGGCGACGACTGTGATATAGAACCTGCCTTCAGAAGGGGCCGTCCAGGAGACGTGAGTGGAGGATGTTTCGGTCACCTGTGTGTAATCAGTGAACAGTCAGATTTTACACAATAGCCAGCAACCAGTAGACGGATTGAAATGATTTGATGAAAATAATAGTAATTACTTAATTATATTTCATTGTTATCATAAATGTACTCCTATTTCGCATGGGACAAACAATTAGTTCCATACTTACATTGGGTGAAGGCAAATCAAGTCCAAAATTCCTTATCTCAAGACAATGACCAGCATATCCATACTGGTAAAACGTGACGCCACTTTCCCTATCAAAGAATCCCTCCCAGTGGGCATGGAGCTGCATACTGTCTTGGTAGTCAATTTCGGGATGGCCCCTTTGCCCATCTTGAACAGAACCAGGGTGAGGTGGACTGGAGTCAATGGTCACCTAGTCAGATATAACAGTTTAATAGCATAACACAACTTACCAAACAAGGGGTTTGAAAAGCATGCAATTGTCACTGCCATGTGTCAACAAACATACTTGTTTAATCTCAGAATGTTTTACAAACCTTAAAATCCAGGGTTGTTCTGAGTTTTGCACGATTCATCACCGTGACTTCAAGATAGTAATCCGAGTCATGAACCCCCTTGTCCTTGTCATGAAAGATCCCTCCGTGTGTCAGATTGGCTGATACAATCTTGGGCTTGACCTGGAAGTGCCTGTGGTAGCATCCAACTCCAGGAGTGCAGTAACAATTAGGACCTCTGGCTGCAGTTTGGTATTTTGTTTCACATTCCACCAAGTCCTGTATATAATTTGTTGGACATTATATTTTGGTGCTGTTAACATTTCACATTTATCATTTAAATCAATTCATGTGCAAACCAAGAGTGCAAACCAACTATTTACCTGTGCCTCACCCTGCGCAGAAATGTGCTCCACACCATGGACCAAATCTTCCCCTGTGTAGTTATCAAATAGTCGCCAGGTAACTGTCTCCAAACCACTGTGATCATCATAACTCACCCATTCGATACTGCAAGTTAAACAGAGGAATATATAATTCGTTGAATGGTGTTATAAATAACAGTGATTATCATATTTGAGGTAAACTCACAAATTGAAAAAAATAATTTACAAAAAAGGTATGAAATGAAATGATAACATTAGTTTCAATGAACAAGAAACATGTTTCTTAATAAAATATCAATTTCCTGGCACAACAAAGACATTTCTTGATAAAGGCACCACCGTCTAAACGGAAATATTGCATGGATACTACGGCTTCTCAAATGTAACTTAATGGTTCTCTTTGGTATTTGTGTTGGATACGTTCTGAAAAGATGCTTCAAGAAGACTTCATATGTAAGGCATCAACTGTGTGTCAGTGCAAATAATTCAAGACAGAATCTTTCAGGAATAGGCTCAAGTATCAGCTAAGTGATTTCTGATATCCTGTTCTCTCTGAACTTATCCATGTATCCTATTTTCACTCTGAATATTACTTACACCATTTGATTAAATTCATCTATGTTGTGTACACTGACATTCAGCCTGTCGCCTCGTGTCAGCCACAGGTTCTCAATGATAGGAGGCGATGTGTCAATGTGGACCGTTACCGTCTCCTCCAGATACTCCCCCCGGACGTCATAAGCTCGGATCCAGTGGCGGAAAGTGTCCCCGTCAACCAAAGTGGGTGAGATTGTATGGGACTGGTTCAGGTAGAGGCTGCTGAAGTCTGGGTCATCTGGAACTGTTTCTATTGAAGTACCTCCCTTGTGATCAACTTTGTAAGCAGTTTTTATGGCAACAATTCCTGTAACAGATAAGTGTTAAAATTAACATTGTCAGCTTCGCTCCTTGAATTTGAAACCAGATTGCTGATTTAACATTAAAAAAACATATGTCAATTCTACAATGCAACGGACATGGATATTCTCGAAAAGAGACGTAAATGAGACAATGTCTCGAAATCATCACCTTGTAAACTGGGGATTTTATCCACACCTCTGCTGTACCCTTGGTCATCATACTCCTCGTCAACATTAGAAACTGGCAATACCCTTTCCAGCCATCTGTTTCTGTAGTGTAGCGTGTTGATGTAGCGGTTGTTCCAGTCGATGTTAACTGAGTCTGATGTCCACTGCCAGTCCCATGAAGATATCTCAGCAGCTGACGTCACACGTAAGACAGTGTTGGGAGTCGTCTCTACCTTGGATTCTCCATCATAGATGATGATTCTTCTGCCACTTTTGAAGTTTCCAGCTTTGTCAATAGCTGTAATTTCTATTGAGAATATCCCATTTTCTTGAAGATGTATCCTGCCTGTGTTCTGACACCAGAAGTCACATAAGTCATGTTTCATCATATAAAGACTTTTTTTAAACTATGCCAACTTACTACTAACTTCTATGTTGTCCAGAGGTTGGTTAAGGCTTGTTAAATATTAAAGAAAATGTTTGAATAATTTTAAACATGCATCTTACCTGAGAGGAATTAAACGTTTGCATTTGTTCTATAGTTTTCATGCGAATTCCATCTTCACTGACAATAAACTCCATTTCAAATACTTGTAATTCGAACCATTGTATGCCAGATGTGTCGTCTCTCCATCCATTCCAGTAAACATTAAATGATGGCTGTAAAACATCAAGAAAACACATTTATACAGTTGAACAAATCATACCCCCAGTGCCAAGTACACATAGCCCTGACATTAAGTTCAAACTACAATATGCATTGTGTCTCAGCGTCGAATGTACTTGGGTATAGTACGTTTCTAACTTTATCGATCCAGTAATTTGAGTGTGTTTCAACTGAAAATGGTGTCTATACTGAAAACAGCTGTACAGCATGTAACTTTTCAAAATGCCGTGATGTTGTATTCAAAAGTTTGTAATGGGATTTATCATCCAAAACTGGCCCCTACAGGAGATACCGCTTTGGTGAGATCAAGTGATATCTACATTATAGATATCGCTGCAGTGAAATTGCATCGCAATGCTTTGCAGACTATTGTGATGTCGTTGGTTACCATGATATCACAATAAAATGACAGCACTAATGGCTCTGCTACTGAAGCTGTTAGCAGTACTTTTGATACGAAGACACTACTTATTACTGTCTACAAAATGAAAAAGTTGGAAGAATGATGTTGGTTGATAAATAGAATCTGACCCTTGTATCTTTTGATATCAAATATATCAAGACCGATCATCGAGAAAAGTTTTACCACATGTGTAGATATGTTTGATATCAAAAGATAATTGGGTGAGATTATCCATACCCCACCTCTGTGAACTATATTCTCACCTGCGTAGTTGTCTTGGCAGCAATGAACATATCAGCAGAACATTCCCATGTTGAAATGCAGTGATATGGATTTATGTAGTCGATACCTGTTCTCACTGTTGCAGTCTTCGTCTGACCACCGTAGAAATGTGTCTGTACAGTGTTTTTTTCCATGTCCTTTACTTTCACAAACCCACCATTTGAGGTCTCAAATTGAAATTGCAGCCTGCAATAAATAACAATCATGCAATACAGTGATGTTCGAAGTCAATTCTCTTTGGATTGGAAATGTAAGGACTAATTGATATATTACAAATAATCAATCACATAGCAGATCTGTGGATATGAAATAAAAAAACATCTGTCTATCTGTTTACCTTTAAGCAAATCAAAATACATGGGGCATTTTAAAGCGATATATTCGTAATAGGCAAGTTTGTCTTACACATCCCCTGTTGTTAGCTCTGATGATTTGAAGACATTAATGATATTGACATCCCCATTGCATTGGAAGCTTAAGGGACCTGTATGTGGGGCAAGCTCAGAAACGCTCCCACAGTTGATGGATGTTGAGAAATTAGTCATCTGTGTGATATCTGTAATAATAAAAAGCATTTCTAAGTAGCTATCCCGTCTTATCGGTTGCATGCGTCTACATAGCACATAGCTAACATGACAAGCACTATATGCTGCATGTGGTAAGCATACATGATTATGATGACATGTAGCAACAGCTAAAGACAGTGACAAATAAAGAAACTATTTTTCGCGAACACCTGGTGCCATAACTGATTTTCAGTGACCCAATCTTATAATTTCCACTGTTTTTTCCCCTTCCTTCGGCAGATTAACGAGATGGAATAATCTTTCACGATAACGATTTATATTTAATGCCAAAGGGAAAAATGGGTTTAATGTTATGTTTATTGTCAGGACATAATATGAATTATTAAATCAATTTTGAAGCTTTGAATATACCTTTGAAAAGGTTAACTGCAAGTTTGCCTTGCACAATTCCAACACTGTAACCATCTATGAACTTATGTCTGGTTGTCAGTAGTCCAGAAGGGATAAAGTTGGTGCGAAAATCATAGTTAATGTTGTGAATGTTCTTCAGGTTTGTCCATGAGTCTTCCTGGGCCTCAGAGTTGCTAGGGTCGAGTGGAGCCTCGGCTGTTTCATTTCTCTGGCCGTGCACTACTATCCTGTTCCATGGTATCAGGGGTGGTGTGTCAACTAAAGGGTTGAATGGTAAAATATCATAGTCAAATAAATGGTAGCAAAACGGTGATGGTGTTAAAAGCAAAGGTGTTGTTTAATGTTTAAGTGTATATATATAATCTTGGACGTGACGTTAAATCCCATTTCACCGACCTCAGCTCCTTGTTGAGACTAGCATATTATTACGAGTCATCACGCCAACTGAAATCGAATCATTACTGCTTCTTAACTTGTCTTACTGAGTAATAATGTATACAACCAGTAGTGCCAATCATTATTGTGACTGATTATAGCATACTTGGGGAAGCAGAGAAGTGTTTGTAGTAGCAGTAAATTATACTAACTATTCTGACAGTTCGGACCACTGAATCCAGCAGCGCAGGTGCAATTACTGGCCAGTTCATCCTCGCACGTCCCCGGGTAACACCACGTGCTGTCTTGTCGCCATGAACATGCCTCTAAAGTTGATAAACAGAATAATCATATATTCGACGTGCATTGAAATATTTTTTTGGGGAGGTAGGGTAGCCTTTTAGTTTAAAAACATCGTTCTGTACGCTAAAGGATCGGGTTCATTTGCCCACGTGGATGCAATGTGTGAATCCCATTTCCGGAATCCATCCGGATATTGATGGAACATTTGGAAAAGGTTGCCCCAAACCATTACTATTCCAATTACTCCGAACTACAAATATAGCTATTCCAAAGACATGACATGTAACAAAATAGCAACAACTCAAACTAATTGTTTCAACCCAACTTAATCAGACCAATACTCGGGGGGTAACCTTAGCATTGCCACTTATCTTTTTCTAAGCATCCTTACTTCTGCAGTATTTTCCGTCCTTTGAAATGACATAAGCTCTCTGCCCCGGTCCTTCTATCACAACTCCTTCACATCGTGAGCACACTTGGCAGTCATTACATGTGCACACCTCCTCTGCTTGACAGTTGGCAATGTGCTGGCATCCTGGATAAATAGAGCACTTGACAAGTCACTGGAAGTGGAACTTCGGAAAGGTGTTTTATGGGCACAATAAACGTTACTACAAGAACATGACATTCGGGGGACTGAGCGAAGCTCATCACTACTTCAACCATGGCTCCTTTGTCTTTGGCTGGGTATTAACCGACTGACTTGTCAGTTAAACTACACACGGCAATAAGTGAACTTCTTTTTCCCCTAAGTATAGCTCTTGGTGATGAAACAATTCATCGATTAACGTGTGTCGCCAGCAGGATTCGAACCCGTTAAGTGTGAACAATGAGCTAACGAACGAATGCTAGCAATGGTTTAAGTAAGTCAGACCAATCGGATCCGATGTTAAATTGTCCATTTCAATGCTAGATCATCGGATTCGTGTGATCTATTATATGCTTATTCCTCAGAAGACAGTAAAGAGACTGACCTATCATTAAAACTACTACAACCTGTCACTGAACTCTGATTCAAGGTGAGCCTCATGTCAGTAACATGTATTTTCTTGTCTAATGATGTAAACGTCAGCACTATCCCTACACTAACCCTTGCACCATCTCCTGTACTGGCCCTACATGTACATTACCCCCTACAATACCCCCTGAAATATCCATGCACTACCCCAACATAACCACCATTACTGCCCCTTTAGCACTTCCTCTTGAAATCCCCTACCACTGCTCTCATTGCACTACATCTCACCTCTGAACGTTCCTTGCATTACTATGGAATACTAAAAGGGACAGTGACGCGTTGTTATCGCCCTTCCAAAAATAAGCAAAAAGTGTCAAAACTAACGACAGTGTCCCTTGTAGTATTCCATACATTACGTTTGTTTACGCATTATTACCAAATTAAATATACGAACAAACACTGTGATTACTACAGAGATATTAATTTATCAAAATATAATTTCCATGAAGACACTGGCACAGAACTCAAAGCAAAATTAACTTTAAACGTTACATTTTAATAGAGTATCGTAGTCGATAACAAAGGCTATTGATCGGAGCTGATACATCCCAATAAAAGAGTAGGGCTGATAAAAGCGACAAAACCCCTTTCCATTATCATGAGAAATCACTGTTCAAAGCAGAGTCCGTCATATGAATCCGCCTATGTCATATACATACGTTTATGGATCTCTATCAATTAATCATGATGCCAGGCGCTTGGATAAGGTGAGCGTATCCTGCCCAACCGGTGGCACCCGTCACAAACACATACAAAGACAAGGCAGTTGTTCACCAGTACAAACACAGGAACGCATAGTCAAAATCCGGAATAAAATGTTTGACAGTTTTACTAAGGTCTTGAATGTTATCATCGCGACGAAACAACTTATGATCAAGAGTCGTATGACGATGTTTGAAATGCTCGATTCCACAAAGTTGTGGCATGTAGACACCAAAGGCAGCCCTGTGGATATTTTATTCTCATCTGAATCTTTATACATGGATCTTAATATGAAACCAATGATGCGGTCTCATTGGTCTCTTTTATTTCTAATTCAGTTGGAGAAAATTGCCTATTTGACAATTATTGAACGGTATCATAATATCATCAATATACTTGAAGCTGACGTTAAACTTCTTGGTTATATTCCTGTTTTTGATTTTGCCAATCAGCAATTCCGACTCATATGCATACAGAAACATCCCAGGAAGGTGGGGAGATTACTTCGTACCTATCTATCCCAACACATCACATTGATGGCATCTATGAGGAAGTCCAGCATTTATCATAAAACATGTACATGTATTTACATACTCAATGTACTTCAAAAAAATTTTTTTTCTTATTGCACTGTATTTCAGGAATACTACACACAAAATTTACAGATGTTTGCATATCCCTGCCTGTAGGGTGTGGTACTTACGGTAACATTGTTTTTTAGATGCACTCAGCTCATAAAAGTATCTTGAGTCTGACGTTAGACATCTAGCACACGTAGTGCACCGCTGACTGCGACAGTACCCAATACTTGAACATTCTGTGACATAATCAGAAAGGGTATTAATGTAAGAAGATAGTAGTATCTTTGACATATAATTACACGAAACATTTATGAGTGAGTGAGTTAAGATTTAACGTCACATCGGCAGTATTTCAGACATATCATGACGAGGAAACATTCATGATTTAATACAACTTTAAAAGAGTTTATTTCGCATAAAAAATTAATATTGTACACTTACCATTTTCGACCCAGACTGTTCTCTCTTTTGGATTATTTTCCCCAATCCAACACCCACACTTGAATATAAGCGTTTTGGAATCTTCATAAATTTCAACCTAAAATCCAGGAATAAAACATGCATGTCCACATATTTGTTGTTTTTCAATATTGTACGAGATCATTATTAGGTTAAACATTTACTGAACATCGAACCATATACAGTCGACCACCGTTGTGTCGAAGTTGAAGGGACCTACGCAAATACTTCGAGTTATCGGAGGTTAGAAACAACCGAAAATAAATAAGGAATACGCAGGGGCCTAGCTTTTACTTCGAGACAACCATTAGTTCGACACATCAAAGTTCGACACAACTGTCGAACTTAGCTGTGCGTTTATCTGTCACATGAAGAGGCAAAACAAACTGGAAGAAAAACGTTGTAAACGTTGTTGAACATCGGTTGATTTGGGTTTTATGTGTTTTATCAGTTCATCAGTGATATGTTCTAATGTTCTTTTTTGTAGCAGAAATGCAAAATTTCTAAGCGGCTATGGAATAGCCCAGTGGTAGGAAAGTACATTAGTACACCACACCACCGACCCGATTCGATGCATTTCATGGGTATCTAGTCACTGATGCTTAGTGTTCCCCGTAGTGATTGCATCTATACATTATACCTTATTCAGATGCCAGCCGGAAAACCATCCCCCGTCATCTGAGCGAATTCTGTAAAAAGAGAAATCGAACTTTAAACATTCAGGATATGCCCGATAAACATGAGACACAATTATTAGAATTAAGTATGTAAGTAATTTCATAACATTTTCACCCCAACAGTTGTATTACTGACCGGGTATTTTAATTTGTTGTTTAATATGGGATATCGAATTCTTTATTGTTTTATGGACAAACCTGATTTGATACAGTCGTCCTATATCTCCAACATTCATAGAAGTCGTATCGACATCATTCTTTTCAAAGCTCCCAGAGAGTTTATTTTCATTGCTACTGCTAGTCCGGCCATACACCCGCAAATACAGACCAGAGTCTGTGCCAGCCATATCTTTGTTACTTGTATAAACTGTTACTCGGAGTCCTGTAAAACGATTTTGTGGAACTGGATTATGTAGAATACTTGAACATCCATCAATACTGCTCCATCCCCCACGCACACGCACACGCACACACTTACATGAACGTTTACGTGGAGTGTTGTAGAACAGGGAGATGTAAAATAGTACAACCCATTCATCCACCCATCACCCCACCCTCGTGCACTTAACCAATACACAGTTACGCACATAAACCATTACTTATATCAACTGATATTACGTTATGATTGCAAAGAATAAATGCCTTATCGACATACCTCGATTGAGAGCTGCTCGAACCCTCCTGATGGCCGGTCCAAATACCTGAACCGACTGAGTGCAGGTGAAATATTGACTTTGTGACAAGAGGGTGTTTGTCACTGTCACTCCTTCTGGTCTCCAGGTACAGGCTATGTTTGGGTCATGCTAACAGAAAACTAAATTCCGTCAGACAGAAAAGGGGAGAGGCATGGTCAAAAGATTTAACTGCAGCACAAGAAAATAATGTTGCTCCACTTGATATAATAATTTAGGCGGTGGGGTAGCCTCGTATCTAAAGCGCTCGCTCGTCACGCCGAAGGGCCGGTTTGGATTCCCCATATGGGTACAATGTGTGAAGCCTATTTTTGATATTACTGGAATATTGCTAATAGCGGCGTAAAATGATATTCACTCACTGATATAATATTTTAAATTGCCAGATGGAAGTAACATATAGTACTTTTGCCGATCTTGGTCACCAAACGACCCATTCACACAATTTTCACTACTATTATGTCTTTTACGCCCAATGGAATCTGTCTCTGTGGATAACCGAGACTGGTTACTCTCTGGCGTTGACGTCTTATGGTATACAGATGACAACAAAGAGACAGATGCCAAAGTCAGGACTACTAATATATCAAACGGTAGACATTAGGTTGGTTACAATTACCTCAAACCAAATTAATTTGATTCTTCCTATGTGTGTTGAAATGTCATCCCCAGTTTTTCCATTCTCCCACAAGGCTGGCCGGTCAGGATAAAGGCACGTCCGAGATACAGTCCCTCTCTCTCCCTCAATGTACATACGCAGCTGTTGGGGTAAAGAGAATTGTCATTACAAAAGTGTAATATGGATACACTAGGTCCGCGTTTCGTTAACCCATATCCTTTATGTCGATAACAGCCCATACGTCGATTGACTCAACATATTTACATAAACATACAACACTCACACTACAGCTTGGGTTATCATGACGTCCCACCAGGGCAAAAAATCTGTATCCTTTAAATCCTCCTGGCAAAAGCTCTAGTTGCCCTTGGTACTGATTCTGCAATAAAGTTTATTTACGTCTTCAACAGTGCAAGACATTGTTATTTATAGGAAATGTGTGACGGTGAGACATTCACCTTGATCGCCACAACAACTATATTTTGTACTCAGTAACCGCCAAGAATAGGGGTTGTAAAATGTAAACACTGATAGCAGATTTAGATTTACAACAGGGTGTCCTAGCCAGCTTTGAGTCTGTTAGTAGTATAGTGTCACTAGGCAGGAGCTGGTTTTGGTTGATCCGGTTGATCCAGGCGGATGCGAAGGTGATTGGCTGATCCAAGTCACGTGTTCGGATAGGATGACTCATGCATCAACAGCGCGTCGGGAAAGGGTGGGGAATGAAAGGTGTGTGTGTTTATAAGGCAGAAAAGAATTCATAAGAAAACAAAAGTAAAAGGTTATGAATAGAGCTATGTGTATAGCGTGCTGCCCTAAATAGACAAGCAGCCCAGTTTGAATTGAGCGCGCTTGACAACTCACGTGGACCTATATTCAAATAACCCACGCTCGCTAGAGCGTGCGACCTGGTTTGATAAATGCAGGGTGTGTGTTGAAAGTACATCATACCACAAAAGAGACGGGTTGTGTCAACATAATATACGCCGGGTAATGTAAGAATAAAAAATGTACGTCTAGCTGCATCAAATTCATCTTGTACGGTCTACAAGTTGTACACCATGAACGTTAGACAACCTGTATGGAAAAGAAATAGATAAGACTACACAATCAGCAAGCTAACAGTTTACATTTAGCGCGCAACAACGAGGTTGTCACGTCACCCTGCATTGACTATAACGCTGAAGGCAGCCGGATTTCGAATCACCCGCGCTGCGTACTATTGTGAACCATTTGTAAAGAATTATTCAGCCCTGTCCCGACTTGCATAGTTGATGTTTCAATGCTAGCGTTTCCATTTAACGCGATGACAAATAAGCCCTACAGTTTGAGTTTTAACCGTGTAACATGATGTGCACAGTTTTACTTCAGAACGTGCTATTTTGAAAATAGATAGAAAACTGATAAGTACATGTAGCAGTGTGACGGCACGAAGCTAGGTTTGTTGGGAAAGTCATGGAAGCAATCTATAGGACATTTTCATGTTTACAATACTCACCCTTAATTCGAAGAGAGAACAGAGTTTATCATGGAAAATTGTTTGACGAGGAAAATGTTTTATTGGAAATATATGTCGAAGCAGGTTTATTCATAGCTAATGTATAGCAGAGACGTATCCGGTATTTAATACATTTGAATAATGTAGGAAAGTATGTGCGTGAAGATGTTGTACCTATATCCGAACACGAATGTATGACACCTTTCAATAGATGAATTACGGTTCTAACCACGACACGCAACATGACTATGAGCGTGGTTTAGCAGTTCATATTTATAAACACATCGTAAATGACAGATTTCTGATGAATGAACTCGCCCGCCACACATATCTATAGGGTTATGTTCGCCCGAACTGTAAACAGTGACGCATTGATAACAGGAAGGGTGTGTGGAATGCACTCGTCCTTGTAAGGGTAAAATACGCGTTTAAACTCACCATTTAAACGATGACATTACTTTTTAGATGTATTGGTATCAGTGAATGGGTGAATTTAGTTTTACGCCACACTCGGCATTATTCCAGCTCTAGGGCGGTGGTCTGTCAATAAACGAGCTTGGACCAGACAATCCAGTGATCAACAGCATGAGCAGCGATCTGTGCAACTAGGAACCGATGGCACGTGTCATCCGAGTCGGCGAGACTGACCAACCGATCCCCGTCAGTCGCCGATAAGCATGGGTTACTGAAGGTCGATTCTATAACCCGGGACCTTCACGGGTGTAGTATGACGAAGACTATATACTAATATGCCAAAAAAAATGAGAAAAAACAAACAAACAATTCATTCGTATCATTTATTGATTCGAGCCAATCGGTTCCATACAAAGCGGGTGATATACGAATGGACAATAGTATTCACTCTGGAACATTATTTAGTCACTCATATACACATGCTGCTGCTGCTCAAAGGCCCTATTGTTTAAATAGCGAGTCCATGTTTTGAAACACATTTCGCACTGTTGAATGTTTCCTTTTCTACGCTGTTTTAAGGTTGAATGGTTGTCTATAGTCTATGCTTTATCCATTGCTTGTAACGATTTCCGTCCAGGAGGTCCCAGTTTCACCATTCCTCTCACGTAGAGGGAAATTCGGCGTTTCTTATCGTTCAAACGCCTCAGTTTACGAGTTGTTTTCAAAATATGAATCAAACTAGACGCGTGGCGTTGACTCGGCATTCTCTTCTGACTGTTAGACTGATATAGTAGTGATCGGTATTTATGCCTAATCGTTCTGCTCACGATCATCCTCCTCCTCCTCGTCATCACCGTTGTTATCCTCTGCAACACTATCAGATTCAGTCTCACTTTCTATTTCCGGCATATCCATCAAAGGCAGGATCTCTTTCATCTTGGGTTTTAGGAGGAGTTTGATTTTATTTTTGAGAACGGATTGTTCCGTGGAAGGATTCATGTCTCCCAGGTTGTATAGCATGTTTTGAAACAGAGGGGCCTCTTTAAAGTACGTGGTATATTCCATCGCATAGTTGAGAGTACTACGCACTAGATCCTCCCACCTCAGTTTCAATCTTCTCTCAATCCATTCTTGCGTTCGTCCCTGTCGCTTGTACTGTTTTTTCTGCAGTTTCATCTTGTCATGAAACGTATCATACACCTACTTCCAGATGCGCTGTAAGCCTACATTTTGCCACTCCTCGGCTTCCATATTAGTGAATGTTGACTTCCCACGTGGAGGTTTGACGGCAAGACCACTGCCTTTCTGGGTCACTGTCATCGTCATCACTCTCGGGTCTGGCACGCTTTCTCTTAGGTTGAAGGCTATTGGCTGGACACCAGTGTTTGACATGTCGCTGTAGATCGTGCATGTTATCTATCAGCACCCCGCAATCTGCGCAAGCCGTGGCCATAGTCAATGATGTCTCACTACTGGTGTCTGAATCGGTTTCAATTGGCGTGAGCTGATGTTGGGGCAATCTCTCTTCTTGTGTCAGAGGACTATCCAAGGATTCTGTTGTAGTCAACTTCTCCCTATGCAGATCAGGTTCAGACTGTGCTGTTGTTCTCCTGTTTTCCTCATTTATGAGGTTAACATGCAGTCGATCCTTATCTTTGGTGGTAGGTTTTAGATCGATGGTGAGTTGTCCATAGGGTGTTTCAGCAACCTTTTCATACATAGCCATAAAGTGATCCATATGTTCGGGGAAAATTCTATGAGCGAAGAGTTTGATTTGCTGTTTATCTATGGGGGAATGAAACAGGTCGACATAATGCGCATTCAAAGAAATGTCTCTCGATTCCTTACCTCTCGGAAACAGATTTTGTATCAAGAGAAAGATCAATACATTCTTGTAATGTGAGGTTTGAGTAAACAGCCGCGAAATACGCTTGTCGTGCTTTGCTTCGGCCAGGAAATCATCCAGGACCAACACGTTCTGTTGACGAGCAACAAAGTAATCCTCGTCCAAGATATCGTAGGGAATTCCTTTTACAAAGGTCAGCTGGGGCAGCTGCTCACCGAGGTCCTTATATAATGGCTGCCATTGAGTATAACACCAAACGATGCGGGTAGGTTGGGGTTGGATCAGGCCATGCCAGAGTACATGAGAGGTAAACACAGACTTTCCACAACCACTGGGTCCCACATCGTGCGCATTTGAGGGAATCAGGAACTTGAATTGTTCTCGAAGATCAGATATACATGGTAAATGAGGCAGCCACGACTGGACTTGCGATGGCGGCGGCGGCGGCGGATGTTCTTGTAACGGCGGGTTGGCTTGACGCAGCGGCGGCGGTGGGTGGACTTGCGGCGGCGGCGGCGTTAGCGGGTGGCCTTGTAATGGCGGGTGGATTTGCGGCGGCGGTAGCGGATGGGCTTGCGGCGGCGGCGTTAGCGGGTGGGCTTGTAATGGTCGGTGGACTTGCGGCGGCGGGTGGGCTTGTAACGGCGGCGGTATGCTATGTTTATTTCTCCTGTGTCGTAACATGACATCTCTCCTTGAAAACATTTTTTCACAGTCCGGACA